ATGTCATCGACACCAAAAGAAATTATTGCAAATTGTAAATTACCAGCATCAAGTTGCATATAAAAATATTACTATATATATATATATATATATATATATATAATATTTTCAGCAAAGCATATCAGAGATGACAACTCCTACAACGTTTGTTCTTCAAATTGTTCCACTCGATGGTTGTGAAGGATGCGTACTAAGGGTATGAAAGACATTTCGTAAACTTAGGGGCTGTTTGTTTTTAATAAAAAAACACTTAGGGTTTGTTTGTTTTTTGAAAAAAAACCACTTAATGCCTCTTAAGTCTGAACATGTCAGACGTTTTTATTTTCAGACCGTTTGTTTTTTTATATAAATAAGAGCTGAAAAGCTCTTAATTTGCTCTGAAAAAAAAGTGATAACATAATCACTTAAATCCTTTTAATCGCTCCCTCCAGACTCTCCCCTCCATCCTCACCTCCAGATTTAGTCCTCCAAATCTATCTCGCAAGACATTTGATCTCCAAATCAATCACAACCCAGATCGATCCACATATTCTCGTAAAATCATGACCCAGATCGATCCAAATCCATCAGATCCAAAACTTGACTGATTCAGATTTCAGACTTCAGACATAAAAACAAACAGTCTGACTGATTCAGATTTCAGACGTAAAAACAAACAGTCTGACTGATTCAGATTTCAGACTTCAGTACCACCTCTTAAAATTCAGAAGTGAAATCAGACTTCAGACTTCAGAATCTTTTAAAAAACAAACGCCACCTTAATGTCCTCTTAAGTTTGAATCGATCAGACATAAAAAGATTCAAAGTATTGTTTTTTTTTTTCAATTAAGTGCTTAAAAACTCTTATTAGGTCTGAAAGAAATAGCGATTGAGAAACCACTTATCTCTTATTTCAATTTGTCGCCTCCCTACTCTACTCATCTCTTTGCGCTCGAGCTCCCTGGATCAAGCTCCTGATCTCTCATCTCTCAAGCTCTCGATCTGTCTCACAAGCTCTCGATCTCTCATCTCTCAAGCTCTCGATTTAAGGTATCCATCCATCTCGATTTCAATTCTTATTCGATTTCTGCGTCTTCTTTGATTTCTCGATCTAAATGGGTTTGATTTATGCGTCTTCTTCATCATGATACTTGCTTGGACAGAAACCCTGCTTGTATTGGACAGAAAAACTTACAGTTGTAATAAACTACAGATCTTTAGTTGTAATCGAGAATCTTGTTCCTCTTGTTGGGTTCGTTTCTATTTTTGTTGTTGTTTCTTGATGATGATCAATGTTGAGGTCCTTTAGACATATTTGTTTAATGGGTAGGTCGGTTTTACCTTTTCTTAAGATTCTTTATATGGGGTTTTGGCAAATTTTCTTGATCATGTTTCCTTATGTGTTTTTGTTGAGTGGTTTTGCGTGTTGGAAATCATAATAAGGGGTTTTGGCAATGTGGGCAAGAATTTGATGGGAATTTGTAGTGGTAAATGATAGTTGATTGATGCATGAATATTGGGATAACAAGTTGGGAATCTTAAAACTATAGCTGCCGTGTTCTGTTTATCCCATTGATGATACATTCTTCAAAATATCTTTAATGAGATTGTTTTTGGCATAAGGAATTTCATTATTTAAATCATAAAACTATAGCTGCTGTAGTTACTGTATGTTATTTGATTTCAAACCCAACAACAGCAGCTACTGTATCTTAACAAATATATAACTGTTTATCTGGTCTTCAAATAAGAAAGGGTAATTTAGAAAGGGTAATTCTTTTAACACCTCAACTCATCAATTTGACAATTTTATTTCAACTGTGGTTTGTTGCAACTTGCACACATATACTGAGTCCATATATATATATATATATAAGCATGCTTATTATACCATGATAGTCAACTATCTTCTTTCAATCAGAAGATGATAAAGGTGTCTTCATCCTCCAGAATTGGAAGATATTCTTCATGCACGTCTTTTCATTAGTCCTCCACTAAACCATGTATGATAATAAAAAACTCAGGAAAGGGCTTCATCCTCCAGAATAAGGAGCACTAAGGGAAATGCTTACAGTGAACAATAAGATCCTCAGGATATATATATGTCTTCAAGAACTGTTTTGCGGCATATCTCCAATTATGAGCACTGCAAGAAGAAAAAGAATTTAGTCACATCATTACGCATATAGGATGCACATTGTTATAATGAAAAGTAGAGGCCAAATCATGGTAGCAARCAAACTAGTTAATCATAAATCCATCTTTCTGGAATATCATGGGTGTAAAGCCAAAAAACTTGGCCCATAACAGCAGCTACTGTATCTCAACAACAATAGCTATTATGTGTATTATTTGTTAAATCATTT